AGAATGGTTAGTATGCATACTAAATTGGTAGTTCTTGATATCATATATTATGAGTCTTATCTTTCAGTGTATCCATCTGAATTTTATCGTACATTCATTGAAATTCACACAATACATACTTCCAACTTTACTGTTCATTGTAACGCTTTAAATCTTCTTGTCGTTGACATTTAAGATTGAATTGATCATATACAACAACATAGGGATTGAGATAAGCAGTCCTGAAATACCAAAAACAAAACAACGTAAAAACACAAATATGTCCAGGTAATAATTAAAAATCATTTTAACTAAACAAGTTGGCTAACACTTTAGATCAATGGTTACTGAGTACAAGTTTGAATGTGAACATTAACACTTCGATTCAGATACATGCATCTGGCTAGTCCCAGTTAGGATAAAGAATTGATACTGAATTTCAATCTTAACAACTATCTCAAATATAATTTAATCTCACCTTTAATCTTATCATCAATACGTATAGAGAAAAATAAGCTTTATTATATTTATATTCTAATATCTAATTATAACTGATCTAAAATTATTTGGTTCAAATTTTTGTCCATCAATCATGCAAACATTTAAAATATCTTGAAAATAATGTTTGTTATACTGTGAAATCAATTAAATTATGTTGTTTAAATGAAAGGTATATCATTTGCCACCTCTTTTGTTTTCTTGTAAAAGCAACTATTCAATTGATCAAAATTCAATTACCTTCTTTGAAATTATATACACATAGCAAAGAAGTATTAGATAACTGTATAATCTATCTCAATGCTTATGTGATATTGATCATGTTTCATGTAATCTAATTATTGTGGCTAATGATATTACACATAAAACAATAATAATAATAATAATAATAATAATAATAATACTGAAACTAGCTTCTTCTATTGATAAATTAAAACTTGTTTATATGCATAAATGTTAGTAGTCAATCTAATATATGAGCACATTCTTACAAGTAACTTAAGCATTGTAACAAACATTCATTAGTGTAATATTTCGTTCGCAACTAGCTACCTATCCATAACTTAATCATTAATTTCTTAAATTTCAAAGATGATAATATAATTAAGAACAGTCAAGTTTTATTGAGCTTGTTAAAAATGTTTTCGTATACAATTAAGTCTTATTCGTGAATGGAAAGTGACAGTGAACTAATAGAGGAATTGATTCAGAAATTTAGTTACACAAATTAATTAGAAAGTTTGAAAGATTTTATATTCAATAAACCAAAAACAGATTATTGATATATTCCTGTAGTTAATCTATGGAATAACTATTAGGGACATACACACTATGATATCTGAAGTAGTATGTTATAACAAGACAGCATTCAAGGAAATGTAGTTACATTTTCTTTTTTCCATTCTTTTCCAAAAACTATTTCTAATGAACTGATATAAAGTTTTAAAAAGTGAGGAAAAGCTTTTCTAGGTGCAGATTTGTATACGTTAACCTATTTCAATCAGATAACTTTGATTTTGGCACCTGGGCAATATCCCAGCTCTCAAATAAACCGAATGATTTATGTGGTGTATATCTGTTCAGTGACTCCTTATACCAATGTTTATGTGTTTACGTAAATAAATAAATAAAAACTTTATCATAACACTTCTTAACATTTCTCTTTATAGTTAAGTTGTCGGATGGACAAAAACTGTTTTTAATTGTATCCCTACAAATGTTTTTGACACAAAACACAAAGGTGATGTAAAAAGTAGTTTTTTTTCAAGTTATTTATTGACTTTTATTTAACTTACATTGTATTTTAAGCACTGATATTCTTAAAGAAATCTGTAACCATATGAGTTTTCACAAATGTGTCTATTCTATGTATTTAGAAGTTTGTAATCAATGTTTTTTCTCCTTTGGACATATATCCTGTTCAATTGGTTTAAATAAAGTATTTCTACATTCAGTATTCGTTTTAAAATGTTTGATTAGGAGTATTTACATGACTGAATAATGTTGAAATCATAATTTTAAAGATCAACAACTCGTTTAATTAATTAGGAAATTGAAAACTTCATAAAGACTACATATAACTTGAGTAGTTCCGCTAGTTTGAAGAATATCGACTCAGGGTTTTCCTACTAAATTTGATAATGTTATCTAGTATGCGATGGATATTTGAGATTAATTCTAGTTCCATTTATGGTGAACTCAAATGTATAAGAACTCTAAAGTATTAAAAGAGATTTTGTTTATAACCACTGAATTTAAGGGAAATAATACAATAAACATACTGAGAAATTAATTTTCGGGATCTCTCAAAAATTTATTTCATTACATGGAGCTTCCAATTGTCTTTTGAAGCCAGTAACTCATTAGTGAATATTTTAAGTATAAAATAATCCATGAGGCCATCTCAATATCGATCAGTCAGTTTACTTGCCCTTGTAGAGCTGATTATATAGGGTTTATAAGACGTAGTTCTTCTAATCTCATCCTCGAGTAGTACTGTGCCTAATTATCGAAAACAAAAGTTGAACTCTTGAACACTTCATCAATTCTAGCCATATGCCACTATCACAATAATCTAAAATTATTTACGAATTCGAATGAATTAGGTTAAACACTGTACTGATATGAAAGATGAGTTACAGTTATAACCATATGAATTCATTATCTAAAGCTCGAACTATGTGTTCAAACTCGACATATCAACAGTTCTAGCCCTTTTTCATCTTCCCACTAAATTGGTATTAAGAATTATTAATATATATATATATATATATATATATATATATATAGCTAGACAGTTAGAGGAAACCAGAACATACTGACAGTTGCGATCCTGAGAAGTATGTTTCCAAGCAACAAATGAATAATTTTCAAGCCTTACAACAATCACCTTACATTTTAGGCTACTTAATTGACATCTATGGTTTACATTTACAGCTTAATGGTCTGTAGAGTATTGTGTTTATCTTTTGGAACATTAGGTTTCCAAGTAAAATACTCTCAGTAATATCAAGTAGACCAAACTTCGTTTTTTTATTTATTTTTGCTTATGAAAATGCGGAAATTTCAGGATTATATCAATTGTGAATAATTCAAATTTCAATAGTTGAAATCATGAGTCAATTGAAGCTAGATCACCATGGAAAACCTGAAAGCACTGGACGGCAGTTCCGTCCTAGTATGCGTCTCGTCAGCAGTACGCATCCACGATTCCGTCCCCGGCGAGATTCGAACCCAGGACCTATCAGTCCTGTAGGTTCTTTTATATTGAACTCACTAGTTCAAAAACATTACACTTAACTAATTTATTATGAAAATAATTGAAGGATTATGTTTCTTCTATTCAGAATTCACCAAAATATACCTCATATACATAATATGATACTATGTAGAATATAAGCATCAATGATTACTTGCATATATATTTTTTAATTTCCATAGTAAAGTCATTCAGTTTTAGTCTTATACAGATAGAACGCTGGTATGTAGTTAGTTTTTCTTCCTTCAGTGAATACATTATGTGACGTATTGATTTCTTGCATTAAAAATCACTCAACATTAAACATTAAAAACAAACTAACTAACTTGTAATTTATCTGAAAATATTCAATTTATACAATAATATATATTATCTAACTTCCTGTATACATGAATACGTCTGTTTTGTATTAGTGATTGGTTAAGTGAGAAACTTTTACATGTTTTTGTCACATGATGGGTCATTTTTAACTGTGTTTCCACCTTTACGGTTTATTATCATTACTATTATTATTACATTAAATGTCTAAATACACGAACGTGTATGACATTCATTTGCATACAAATATTGACTTCTGTTGTTTTGTTGTTGTTGTTGTTGTTTTGTTTTGTTTTTCTTAAAGAGTAACTAAAGAAAACATGACTTATTCCTTTTTAGCTGGAATATAAATATATATATGTCTACATTTTTAACTTGTTTGTTCGTCTATCTATCGATCGTGCTATGTTGATTTGGCAGTTCATATACCTGCATGTATACACAATATACATTATTGATTGAATCTGAAATGACGATACAGTTAGTCACAATATAGAATATGTCATATTTACCTGTTTTAAAATACAAAATATTATAGAATCTCATTGTTTCTGCATTATCCACACATTGAATATAATGTTACCCTGTGTACTGAAATTCAAACATTTTCTGTATTTCTTATTACATCATTAGATATGATGATTTGTAAAAAGGAAAAGAGAAAAGAAAGAGTTTTGTACGTGTAAATTGTATGAATGTGTTTATATCATGTCATTGATTGCTGGTTGATGTTTAATAATTTCAGTAGGATAAATATATGTAAGTAAATTAACTATGAAATAGGATTCTATTCAATGAATTTTATCTTCTCTACAGTTTAGAAATAATGACCAAACAAAGGAATAATTAACATATAGTTGAATAACTAATAGTGATTCAATCCTCTTTGATCGATATATTGATTTTATCAAACTAGAAGAGTTGGTTTTTATCATGGTAATTCGGTACCTACCTTACGAACTCGATATACTATTTAGTAATAAAATAGAATTAGTGGATTTGTATGGATAAGTGATTTTTTTAATTTACAGTGATCCGTTAAAGATTAACATAATATTTATTAATACTTAGTGATCAATATTAAAGTCTTAAAGCTGGGCACAACCTAAACAGCTTAGTGATAACATACCACTGGTTTATCCAGATTTAAATCTTACAGGTAGCATCAATTCATACAAGATTGAAGATATATCTTTCTAAAGATCGTCAACCTGTAAGAAACCTATATCTAGTGCTGTCTGATGATTAATTTAAGACATATAACAGTAAAGAGTTCCTGTACCTATCTGTTACAACTTAAAGCTTACTCACACTGCATCAAGTCAACTCCAAGTAATCTTAATCTGATTTTATTGTGCTCAATTGTTCATTTATATTATCCAATTTTGATCAAAACTTGGAGAGATAAGTAAGCATACTCTTTTTTTTCATATTTTACAAATTTTAGGTGCATCCAGTGATAGTTTTTACTTTTCTGTCAGTCCAAATGACCAAGATGTTGAAGAAGGGCAACCATTACGTTTGAGATGTGCTGTAACTCCATCAAAAGATATTTATTACTCATGGTTACATAATGGTACACGTTTGCAATTAGAAAAAGAGAGTGGTCGACGTTACCTTGAAGTGGATAGTAATTTACAGATTTTACATGCTGATCGTGAATTAGATCCTGGTACCTATCAATGTCAAGCGTTGAACCGTTCTTCAACTTTCACGACAGCTAGTAGAGAAGCAAAAGTAAACATTTACTGTAAGTTTCATTATGATCAATGGGGAAAATTAGTCTTATGGTAGTAATTTTTGTTCTTGGCTGAATATGATCAAATGATTGTCTATTTTATAGTGCAAAATCTTAGTATCTTACTTGTCACGAATTATTATTAGGATTTATCAGGTATATCTTAGTGATGGGAGCTCTCGGCTTTCAATCATTAGATCAGAATTCCAAATACTACAATATCCATTTTGGTTTGATAAAACGGGTTCATATTACTAGCTCTCACATGACTAGTGTAGCTCAAGGTCGAGTAGATAAACATGTGTTTAGTAAATTGGTAACATTATCAGGTATCTTGTAAAATTGATTAATACCTTTAGTGATTTTGATTAATCGTCTAGTAAAATTACACTGGTGATAGTACTGTTTTGGAACTATTCTGTTTATTGTCAGAAGATTAATTTAAGGTTTATGTGCATGCCATCACTGAATGGTTTGGATAAATGAATATGAATAAAGAATACCAGTTTTAATCACCCATAAAACGGAATGTATTTTTGTTTGTTTAAAAGACTATAACTTTCACACTGTTAAAGTTTGGCGCAGTTAGTTATGTTATTGCTATATTTTTAAATTCATAAGCTTGTCTTATCGTTCTTTTTACTGAAATTAAGAAACCCTATTTTTTAAATATCCAGAATATAGATGGGACTAACGTTTTGGTCATCGTAACCCTTTCTTTCAAATAATGTGGTGTCAGCTGCCTTAGTAAATAAAGTATATTTCCCGGTCTACAGTATACGAAATCGAAGATAAGTGCCAGCATATGACTAGATCATTTGACCACCTTCTGATATAATACATTCTTTCTTTGGATTAAAATACTAAGTGAGGTAGCAATGGCCATCGTTGAATCACGAAAATACCGACGTTCTTAAATCACCAGTTTAACTATGACTGGGCGTAAGTAACCATTTTATACTCACACAACTATATGCTTGAATTACAAAACCGCAACATACAATATGTAACAAGCCTTATCAGGTTCATATCTAGGACACACTGAGTACATATCTGAGTAAAAAATTATCATTTATGGATGGCAATACAATAAAACAACTCATGAATCAACGCACAAATAACATATTGAATTATTCACTGAAGTATAGCTATTCGATCTTCATATGGTTCTGTTTACTAGCCATCATAACAACAGAAACAATGAAGCGTAGAACATGATGAATGTAGTTGTTGTAATAATAGGCAAATAATAGTCATGTTACATATATGTTAGCAGCTCATGAATCAACATCTGAATAATGTACATTCTTTTAGATGTATATTCACAGCAATCGCAATGTCTGATTGTGCTCTTTCCTAACTTGTAAAGCGAAAGGTCGTGAACATTTCGCAAACGCACCTGAATAATTTATGCAATTAATTAATACAATGATCTGTTGAAACAAACAAAAGACACATAACTTGTTGAAATATCTAGATGGCAGGAACTGGTAGACCAGACATTCAAGCATTCCCCCAATATACTAAGATACTCGTTGAATCCCTCTAAACAATTTTGATATGTGTTTTATGCATATTACTGTTTTAGCTTCTCATTCAGGTTATTTGAACTGTATTATTATTATTACTTGATTATTTACTTTCAAGGGATGGATCCAGATGTTCATGTATCTTTAATTAAACCATTACGTTATGAAGACATTCGTTTAGGTGAAGAAGTTGAATTAACATGCAACGTTAAAGCAAATCCACCATTAAGTCCAGCAAATATTAAGTGGTTTCACAATGGGAATGCGTAAGTTATGTGTTTATATACATACTATAATACTATATTTTCATTTTCACAATATAATAAGCTATTTATTTTTTTTTAAATAGAGCTCTACGAGCATTTTACAGAAATGGATCGTTTTTTTAAAATTATACTTCGATAATTATAGAGTTTCAGTATTGTTTTAACATTATAAAGACATTTATCAGAACATACTAAACAACAGTTCATGGTTTTCTGATTATGTACTAAACAATTTAATATTATAATTATTATTATTCTCTGAAGAAGCGGCTTACACTAAGTCACGAAACGTTAGAAAATCTAATTTTTCTACTCATTCGGATATTAAAAAAACATTATTTATTTATAACAATCTATCCAATGTTCAATTTATTCGAAATTATCAAGTCAAACCTTGGTAATGATACATATTATTATTACTATTGTTGTTATAGCTAAACAGCTTAAGAAACTATTCATGCGAAAAACTGATGATTTTATATTATCTTCAAAATTATTCACATTCTCATCTACTATCTCATAATAACATGGTTTATCTATAAAGTCTACAATTGAATAACTATTGGATAGATTCAAAATCCAAGTCAAAATGAGGATGACAATTTTCTTTTTTTAGGAATCAATGAATTCATCATAGTGATTGTTTGATATAATTCATATTATGTACTTCTTGATAGTGGAATATTCGTGAGTATTTAGAATTGGAGATAGGGCTTTTGGTAAACTGAATAAACTATGTTTCTATATGAATTCAGAAGTGTATTATTCACTTTAACTATGATATATATTCCCAATAGTGTATTCAGTTTATGACTAACTTGTGAATGTATAAAATTTTGACTAACTAATCAGCAATATCTAATAATTTTGTCTACTTTGTAGTTTTGACAAGTTTAGTTTAATTAAGTTTAAAGTGTAACTTCTAAGTCAAGTTTATCTCTATTCATAATGTTTGTTGAATCGTGTTTTAGGTTAGTGGAAATTTAGAACATTGTAATGATTTTTTTCCGAGACTTAGGGTACTACTAGGATTGCAGTATAAAATGAAGCCAACTACCGCATAAATCTTATAGCACATATTGTATAGACAAACGTTTATGTGTTATTGATTTTATTTAGAATTATCAGTCAAAAAATAAACGCAACTTACAATCCGTATCTTCTTTTTTTTCACTGTGATGAGATGAATTCCATAAAGTATTGGATACTATATCATTACTAGAATATTTTGGCATGTGTTGGTATTCAAATGCTTGGTAATAACTTCTTAGAGGGTTTCTAAATTTCTTATGCACTCTTACACTTGAGCCGTGAATAGTAGAGAATAGAGTGAATTAAGAGTATTTTTACCTTAAGGTTCCTTAATGCATGCAAAATAAGATTATTTACTGGTTTATTGGCAAACGTTAACCACTGGCAACTTTTGGAAGGATGTTAAAATTGGTAAAAGAATAAGTAATCTTCCAATCATAGATTGGTACAAAACCTGTCAGTTTTCTAGAAGATTCCTCTGCGTATACTGATTAGACAAAATGTTCTCAGTATTCCTTTAATTTCTGGAACTTCACCATGAAATTTTTGTGGGATCCCTTAGACGGATTTAAGTAAAAAGTACTATAATTGTTTAATTAATTTGTTAAGCTTAAATCGGCTTATGAATTCAACCATTAAAAGTAAATCAGGTGAGACTGTAATTTATGGGCGACCTTTTAGCGACGCTAAAGTGACCTTGAGAGTGAACAACTTCTAATTAGGACTAAATAAGGTTATCAAGCAGTTAGAATTCTCATTTACAGTTGATGGTTAGGGTCTAAACTTAGATTTACGGTTTTCATCACTATTTGACATCAGCTGCAATGCCCGAACTCTATTTGGCCAAATGTATGAATGAACTCCCCGCCCAAATTCGTGACTCGTTATCTTATATCTGATTGGTTCGTCCATAAATTATAGTCTCGCCGTAAATCATTAACTTAAAGTGATTATAAATATTACGTCTGCTAAGTTTATTTAATATATCTGGAAATTATTCTCTAATCACGTTATGATCATATTAATATAATGGTACTGGCTATGTTTTCCTGGGATTATTTATGTCAATAGTTGAACGTGACAAATTAACAAATCTCTAATTATACTTTAATGGTGTTTTAAAAAAACAACCCCGAAAGCCATTCCCCTCATTTTCAATTGTATAGTGGTAAGACAATAATAATAATGTTGAATATTCACATGTATAAGTTAATTTTAAAAAAAAACTTATTTGATTTGACATTTTGTTTATCTTGGTTGTGTGCTGCATGTATTTACTCATTGAATCAAATTAAGTCTTGGAATTGGAGCATTTGAAAAAGAAAATATAATGAAGAAGTAAAATTAACTTGTTCTAACATAAAGTTTAGACAACTGAAATGTTTCAAATACCTTATCCAAATAATGTGATTCTGTTTCCTACATCGCACTGTGTCTTATTGCATTATACTCTACATTTACGATAACTTACATTTTTAAAACATTCTCTTCTGTGTGATGTATTCACTCATCTGAATTTCCATTTATATATATTTATTTGATCTAATTTCAAGGTGTATATACTGAATAGGGTTGTTCACCGCAATTCTAATATCAACAGAGATATTTTTGTGACTTACTGTTATTGTAGGTAAAAATCATAGTATTTCGATACTATTAATTTTGTTCTTCATAATATATCAGTAATACAAAGTAGCATACATTGAGATGACGTTTATATATAGTTCTTCTAATTAACAACTTAATGAGTCGTTTTTCATTCATGGACATTCGAACCCAAATCCCTACATGCATTTTCGCTTGTATAATATTACTTACTTACGCCTGTTACTCCCAACAGAGCATAAGCCGCCGACCAGCATTCTCCAACCCACTCTGTCCTGGGCCTTCCCTTCCAGTTCTATCCAATTTTTGTTAATTTTTCTCATATCTGTCTCTGTTTCTCGACGCAATGTGTTCTTTGGTCTTCCTCTTTTCCTTTAACCTTGAGGATTCTAGATGAGGGCTTGCCTTGTGATACAGTTGGGTGCTTTCCTCAATGTGTGTCCTATCCATTTTCAGCGCTTCTTACTGATTTCTTCCTCCACTAGAATCTGGTTTGTTCTCTCCCACAGTAGATTGTTGCTGACAGTGTCTGGCAAATGGATCCGAAGTATTTGGCGTAGACAACTGTAAATAAACACTTGTATCTTCTGGATGATGGCTTTCGTAGTTCTCCAAGTTTCCGCACCATACAGGAGAACTGCCTTGATATTTGTATTGAAAATTCTGACCTTGGTGTTGGTTAACAGTTTTTTTGAGTTCCAGATGTTCTTCAGTTGTAAGCATGCTGCTCTTGCTTTGCCAATCCGCGCCTTCACATCTACATTAGGTCCATCGTGTTCATCATTGATGCTGCCCAGATAAGTAAAGGATTTTACATCTTCCAGATCTCCATCTAGTGTGATTCGATTGTTGCATACTGTATAGTATCGGAGAATCTTGCTTTTCCCTTTGTGCATGTTGAGACCTACTGCTGCTGACTTGTATAATATATGTGTGTATTAAAAGCTATGGTTTAACTTTCTTAGCTAACTGTATTACCAATGTGTTTCATTTAATTTATGAATCTATGATAGACGGTAGGAGTATCTCTGACTCATTTATATAGTTTAACAGTCAAGTAGACAACAGGAAAATAAGAATAAATAACATAAAGTAGACGACTTCTGTTAATGAATTATTATGAAGTAATTGATAGAATTATGACATAGTATAAGTGCTTTAAATTATGTTTGATGCAAGAGAATGAACTTGTATCTTAACTTGATACATATACACTATTCATATCACAGTTGTAATTTATAATTTTAAGCCATTACGTCGTAGTCTGAAAAACAGTGATAAGAATACTTTGAAAGTTATAGTACAAACTGATCGGGAGGTTCGTAAAATTGATTTTAAAGCTGAAATTAGTGATATTTGACTAAAAATATTTACGAAATTCGTTTTATTGGTTTCACTATTTGTGTTATTGTATGTATTGTTCCGTCAGTACATTACAGTACTGAACCAAGAGAAACTAACTATCAATAGTCACAAGTGGTTAAGGAAGAGAATCCTACACTCCGATCTAGTTAGAGACATTTAATTCATTTTATATGGAAATATTTAACAGTAACAGTAATATTAATATATTAATCAGGCAAAAATCAATCATAAAATATTGTTTTCAGATTTTTTTCCAGTAAACCCTGTTTGACAACAAGTAATTTTAGCTTGTCGTGTTTATGATGATAGTCAATAGTTGATTATTAAACTGTTAGAAAAATCGTCCTGTAATATTGGTAATTTTATCTTATTAGTCAATTTGTAAGCATATTGACAAGGTTTAGAAAGGATGTATTAATTCTGACAATATAAGTCTCTCATGTGAAACTTTAACTACTGCTAACAAACTGACATGAACTTGATGAATTTAATTAAGAAGAGCGCATTCTGATGTGACTACCCAAGTAACCTCATGTTTCTAACCATATGTCTACTAACAAATTATTAATTATTATGAAATAAAATGCAGTTGAATATAATTTTTATTTAGTAAACTAAATCGCATTAAATATTTATTATAGAAGTAAGACTAACAATTATTCCTCAATAACAGATAATTGGAAATTGATAATGTATGGAATCAAGACTAAAACAATTTTGAATTCGGCTACTAATTATTAATCGACTAAAACAAATTAACTGAATTTTCAGGGATTGATCTCCATCCAGAAAATCCAATTATGGACTTAGAATACGCAGATGACATAGTCCTGTTCAGTGAAGACGCTGATAAAATTCAGTCTTTTGATAGCACTGAGCAACAATGCCAGTATGTTTGGGATGCGGTTTCCCCCTCTAAATGCAAGTTGTTGCTTCACGACTGGCGTGCGTCAACACCTGAACTAAGGATAGGGAGTGAAGTAGTCGAACGCGTCGACAACTTCACTTATCTAGGAAGTTTGATCAGCCCTAATGGGTTGGTGTCTGACGAAATCTCAGCACGGATTCGAAAAGCTCGCTTGGCTTTTGCCAACTTACGTCACCTGTGGCGAAGGCGAGATACCCGTCTATCAATTAACGGACGAGTATACTGAGCAGCAGTTCGCTCTGTTCTTCTTTACGGCTGTGAAATGTGACCATTAAGAGTAGAAGATACTCGTCAGCTACTAGTATTTGACCACAGATGGCTTAGAAATATTACTTGCATCTGTTGGGATCACCGGGTAAGTAATAGTGAGGTTAGACGTAGGGTATTAGGGAATGATGGTAAATCAGTTGATGAGATTGTGGATCTTTGTCAACGGAGATGGTTGGGCCACGTGTTACGCATGCCCGAACACCGACTATCACGAAGCGCAATGCTGACTATTGTTGGGGATGGTTGGAAGAAAGTTAGGGGCGGCCAAACAAAACATGGTATCAGTGCTTGAAGTCACTAACTTCTAGCCTGAGCCATGTTGGTAGATGCAGACTACTTGGTTTGGTTCCGCGTGACTATCGTAACCACTGGTTGGAGACTCTGGATGAGATGGCTCAGAGTCGATCACAATGGCGTCGGTGTATATACTCTCTGTCTTCCCTTAAACCGTGAGATTAAAATTGCTTTATACCTTTCTTTCTACGAACTAATTCTTTCTCCTTGTATCAGATCCATATATGAAGTGCTTTTTCATATACTACCTTTGAAGTAACTGCTTCTATGAGTTTAGTGCTAATGAGGTATGGCAACTTCGACCGATGCATATATGTGCCTGGTCCTACATTGTAGCTAACTGAACCAGAAGTGTTTATTTTGTAGTTAACAGAGATATGCTAATCAAATCACATATCAGTTAGTCATCTAAACATAATTGTTCCACTCTGTTTTGTTCGGAATGTGAAGAGAATGGAATCTAGAATGCCTATACTTTAATCCTATATTAAACTAAATGATTTTCATTATTTAACATCAACGGAATTGTTTTACACTATTGGTTTAATAATATATACGTTGTATGTAACAATCTCATCAATCTATCTAATCAATAGTATTATAAATTACCTGATAATTAATTTATAATCTCAGTATAGTCTAATAAGAAACTGATAGAAAAACCATAAATAAGAATAGTTTTTTTGGATATTGATTATTCTCTTTATTATTAATTGTACTTTGTTTATCTTTCATTGTTTGGTTTTTTTCTTTCATATTCTATTCTTTATTCAACCTTATTTCATTCATAGTCATGTCTATAGTATACTACCATATATATTCACTACCCATAACATTATTACAATTATCTATCCTCTAAGTTTCTCTTCTAATATTTTAATTCTTATATTTATTATTATTACTGTTATTTCTTATTATCATAACAATATAATTTAAATAATGTCAAGGAAACTTTCTACTTTATTTGTTTTCATTTGATGTAAAGCCGGTTTTACGTGAATTTATCGCATAATCATCTATTATTATTATTATTATTATTATTTGGTGTTTGTTTTAACAATGACAAAACAGGCAGGCGACTCCCAAATTAATAAAAGATATCTGTTTATTGTAATCTTTGCATATATACATATAAGCATATATGCCTATTTGTATACATGCATCCACCTTATTTCTTTATTCTTACTTGATCATCTAAATATTTTTACTAACTAACTACTACCCATCAATTCATTTTCTATCTGTCTCCGTCTTTCTTTCCTCTTCGTTTGCTTATCTACAGCTGTCTATCCTTTCTATGGTAAACTTATACATGTGATGATTAAGAATATTTACTGTAGTTTACTAGTGAAGGTGTAAACTTCTCATCAACTTGTCTTCTCTGTAATTATTCAAGTGGAAAACAGAGAAATAATTATTATGTTGGGGACAGCAAATAACAGGTTTGTATGACAAATGGCTATTAAATTCTATTCACAGACTTAAATGCATAAAAACCTACGATGTTAATAATGTAGGAAAATAAGTTGAACAAAATTCCAACTCGTTTAAGTATGGCTGTGTACATAGAGTTTCAGTTAGCTCCCGATGAGGGAATAAAATTATCTAGATTGATCAGTATTAGTAAATTCTTGTGATCTTGTATCGGAATTCTGATTAAAGCTGTTACAAAACCAAGATTATGATTAATTTAACATATATTCGTTTAAATCGTAACCAATAATCAAATCATATTTCATTATCGGATACGGAGTATTAAACTATAATGGGGATGGACAATATCTAATTAATTTTTATTACATGATACTAGTTACTCTACTAAGTTTTCTCCTCAGTTTTGATGAGATGAACATTTTGGTGAATAATGAAGTCGACTATCTGTTTAGTCTATGTATCATATTGTTACGAGGAGAATATGACTGGGAATTAAGAGAATCTAATGATATGTTGGTCTGTCTGTTGGTTTATCGCTTTATCAATCTGTCCATTACAGCTGATGATTAATTGAACTCAATATTGTCAGTGTTAGTGGTCCTTGATAGGAATATTTATGTAAGGATTTCGTAAAACTTCTCAATATCAATTTACTAACAGAGAATAAATGAACTATATATTTATACGCAGTTGACTACCATTGACTTCTTTTCAGTAAGGGAGGAAAATAAAAGTATCCTTTATAAGTTATTATGGAAACTTTCAGTATTTAACTGTCATACTGTAATATGTAACTAACTCTCAAACTATGTAACTGACTCATTAATCTTACTAAGGAAATTTAGTATATATATTTTTGAATACTTACTAATAGTTTCTACCTAAACACGTGTTGATCAAATTGAAAGATGAAATTCAGCACGAAACTTTAATTACATATATACTTTCACTATGATCGATTTATTTCATTTCTACTTTACATTTATCTTATTAGGCGTTTACCAAATACAGAATTTCGAAGTAATGGAAATTTACGTATAGCAGTTTTTGGTATTGAACATACAGGAAGTTATCATTGTCGTGTTATACATGCAGCTGGTAAATTAGACAGCAGGCCGCCATTTTTAATTCAAATGACAAGTTAGTGGCAATTTTATTATTATTTCTGTACTATTCAGATTATTTCTATGTACAAGTTACTTATAATTTGGTTTTTATTTATTTAAAATGTATAGTAGGATTCTTAAAACATAGTTCATTCGATTTTCACATACCATGATCAAATAACAGGGAGTTGAATAGATTTTATTAAGAAGTGATAGAGATGGGAAAATTTGAAAATTGGATAACATCTTGTTTTAGAGATTTTATGTTTTTTTGTTGTTGTCAATAATCAAAATATTAAATTTCATTAGTATCTCTTAGTACATAAACACCTTAGAAAGATCCCTCGATGTGTTGCTCATATGCGCTACAAGTGACTTACATTTTGTTTAGTATCAGCTGTACAATAGATAAAGCGTATTCTATCTTCAGTTAAGCTTACCTGGTGAACAACGCTATTGATTTTGAAACATTGGATATTATATCAAAGTGTCAGTGATAACATCAACTCTATGTTACAAGTAAATTCACTTGACAAATCTTAAATAAAATGGAATATATATATCTTGTATTAGACGGTTCATATGATAATATTTAATGAATTAAAAGTATTTTATACTATTTTGTATCAAAAAATATCATGGTTGTAAAAGTATTATGCTGTATTATAGTCTTCTATTGCTTAATCAAACTAGTGATGAGTTAAATTTGCAATAGAGACTTTATTATATCGTTTTACTTTCTATAATTCAAATTAAAAGCTACAAAAGAATCAAATTCCATAGTGTATGAAACATGTGAATAGACAGTGACAGAGATTATGTATTTAACTGAGAGATAAAAAAGTTGTTGAACGTTCCATTTCTAGCACTGTTACAACCGATTTTCATGCCTATCATCATAATTATAAAATGTTTATCAATAAAATTTATAGTAGTAATAATAATGATGATAAGATTTTGTAGAGATTCAGTTAAACTCATGTAATTTTATTCAAAGAGATTACTCATTTTAGCTATTCAAAATATGAAGAAAAAAAATTCAATTTATTTATCATCTTCATTTAGTAACAAAATCTATCAATTACCATTCTTCATATCACTAAGAGTAATTAGTCAATTTGTGTTACTCTTTTTTTCTGGAGTTTTGTATGTGTATAATCGGCATACGGGTATATTGATTTATACCATACAATTTACTCCTAACAAAAGTAAATTTTTAATATAAAAGACTTTTAAATCAAATCGCTAATTGTAATGTTTCTTAAAGAAAAAAAATTAGTTTAAAAACTTGAATGAGATCGATATTTGGAGTAAATGGAATAATGTTAACCCTAAAAACTTTGTTCTTTGAGCTGAATGGTTTGATCGTGAAGTTTTCATCGTTCTTCTGGACGACAACATTAGAACAAACTTAAGATAGAAAATAGTACAAGACTTCTATTAAAAACTTAAAAAAACGATTATGAATGAATTGAGTCACTATAACAAAGACTGATCAAATCATATATGCTTTCAATCATGGTTTATGTGTAAACGCGGCCGTGTAAACAATAATTTTGTACTTCCAACTTTTAGTAATTTTGTGTAGTTTGGTGCTACATTTTGATCTGATAGCATTAAGCTTGGTCCAGTATTTTTTTGTGGTTGTCAAGATAGTTCAGTAAATCTAAGCAAATATCAGTATCACATTTCATAATCACCTTAGTTAATGAAAGTTTATAAACTCGTCAACTGAAATATCATTTCTACTTTGTATTTAACTACTCCACAATTCCAACTTAAATAGACAATAAATCGACAACAGATACAATAAACCATTTTCTATCCATGCTGATCGCTTCAATTTTGTGGATCTTTATTGGCATTTTTGAAATAACACGTAAGAAACTTTCGCATAGCGTACATGATCTTTATATATGCTACAGAGGTGTTCCATATGACTGCAGAAATTTTTTCTTGTGAGGCAGTTTCACTTAGAAATGTAAGAAAAAAAGGATGAGAAAATATAAAAACATTAAATTCACATTATTATTTCGTTTAGTGACTATGCCTATGGTCACATCTGATCATACAGTGGAAGTTTACTTACAATCTGCTAATCGATATTTCTATATCCGCTTATTGAATTATTGCATTAGGAATGTGAACACACCGGTAATATTATCTAATGTGTTAGAAAATGAACAATCAATTTTTCGTTTACATCTATGAAACTGATTGGAAAACATTTATTTAAACCTAACTAACAATATAAGCAAGCCGACCAGTTGAAATTGAGTTCTTCTACCAAACCCATTCTTTCATCTCTTTTTAATCGGCTTCTTTCAAAATTGTCAAATTCCACTTAATCCACTTTGAATTTCGCGGTTGGTTCAGTCGATAACAAGTAGATAGTTATACTGCAATGTAGTCATAATGTCAGATATTGTATTTCTTTTTTTTAATCGGTGAGATAAATGACTAAACTAAATAGTCCTACTGAAAAGTTGTAATTAAATCTTTATGAAATAGTACTTGTTTCGATTTGTTTAAAATGACTGTATTTTTTGAAAGGCGCCACGTATAATATATTTTATTTGGTTTGAATAACATAGGAACATTCTTTTTTTCTAGTACATTGACATCGTTGAAATTTAGTCATTTGTTCATCATTCATTCTTGTCTAGATGAACGTAATTCAGTTATTTATTATTACTATTCTTATTCTTTTTGCTCTCAACTTTTTTTAATGACAGTTTCTAAAACTTTACTAATTAGAAATCAATAGATTGTTATATCACCTACCTTACTTATTACTTAGAAGTCATAAAACACGTAGTTTCCATATGAATATAAAAATCAGTAATTCAACTTCATGTATTACATCCATATGATTATGTTCGGAATTTTACAGATGAAATTTAGTCTATTCAAACTTGAGTTTGTAAAAGTGTATTTGAATGACTATAAGTAAACGTAAATTATATCACCATCTGTTCTAAATGTAAATGAGATTACTTAAACTAGCTTTTATGTTGTACATATTCACCTTTCTCTTCATTATGATTAATAGAAGGTAAATTATGTAAAATATAGCTTGTCATTAACGTATTTAACAGTGTTCTTAAAATTAACACTAACAAATACTGTACGAATGAAATAAATTCACTTCAGATGCTCTAAAAATTCGTTTTCTGAGATAGGATGTTACCACGTATTTAATAGACCATTGAACACTTCTTTTAACTTAGTTAAGGGCTCCACAACATTGTTCTCCTATGAAATCTTCAGGAGTTCAGACCTTAAACATTTACATTTAGATATTACCCAAATAAAAACCAGTGACTTTGTTTACGTAAAAAGATAGTTCATTTCTAAAGAGATTAATGAAAACGAAATGAATTAAATTTCCATCATCACCTCACATTATTTTTATTCGTGCTTTACAAAAAAATATATTCAATATGAAACTAAGATATAGAAATAACGAATGGTAAGGCTTAAAGTTAAAACTCAGCATTCTGATGATTGTTTTTACTAAGTTCATTATGAAATCAACAAACCCATTATTTACCATATTTCAAGAATATTTAACAATTACCACTGAATTTTGTCAACTAGACTACTGTGATATTGACCAAACTACAGTAACTGACTGGTCCAAAACGAATTAGTTTAAAAACTCTCTCGGTCTATGGTACACCAAATTGAATAAATTCTACATATTTCAATTTACATACGACGTAGATTCAGTGATAAACGTAGTTATTATATGGTGTGTGCGTTGGATGAGAAACCATGTTCTTATTGTTTTGGGTGAAAGTTGGTTTATTTAATCAGCTAACACCTTTTGTTAGTCGATTTGGACCATCATGAACTGTTGCTGTTTATTCTTAATAAGTAAGCTCTATATTTGAAATTGTTTCTTAGATTTGAAGTTTAATCTATCCTTTTAGTCATTTGACTTCGAAAGTCTCAAAACCTACTTTTGATCAAGTTGATTGTTTTCTGTGTAGAGTTAGTGCTAATCTAATAGAACATAGTCTAGAATATCCATAAACAGTGATGAAAATACCTATTTCATTTTTTCACTTCCGTTGCACTGTTCACTTGTATTTCATTGAGTTGTCATTTTAACGATGTTATTCTGTACTACATGAATGCTGTTATAGTTCAATATGATCTTTGCTTAGAAAAATGATATTTTTCTACGAAAGCAATAATTGTCAGAGTATCCACAACATAACATGAGTAAAAAAGGGGGACTCAGTTGATTAAATGATTCAGCTCAGCAACGATATAAGAATTACTCATCAGTGTCACAATATAATGATAAATTCCAATGGGATAATACAAGTTGAAACGTTTTTAGGGTGTCTATTATATATATATATATATATATATATATATATATATATATATATGACTGGGTAATCACCAGATGACAAAGTTCCATGCATATCATCCTTTAATTTATTTGACAACATTAATTTTTCATTTGATTCTCATCAACCTGCTGACTAATAAAAACCATTATTTTCATAGACTAAGTTTGACGCTTTTGACATTCTTAAAATGTTAATTAACTTTCTTTTGTTCTCTTTTTATTGTTTGTGGTTTTTACTTGATGCCTCAACGTCATCCTAGAAATCCCATTCTATCCACAAGTATACCTTTACTAATCTAGGTATACAAGATTAATGATCGAAATGCACTAGTTCAAAGTCTATTGACAGAAATGTCTAGTAGGATGTTAGGACAATTTTTGTCGGAAAAGATTTTCAAGCAACAACTTGGTTTAAATAGTACAACTGGGAAAAAAATGAAATAGTTGCATAAAATTGATATTATATTGAATTATATCACCAAGAGATTATGTTGTACAAATGAGATAAGAACTTCAGAAACTCTGAATTGATATTGAACTTTTCTCCTCTTTACTCGACAGAATGTATTATATCAAATCTTCCTGTCTGACACATTACAAGATAGTTTAATAACATTGAGCACATAAAAATATAAGTATCTAGTTACAGAGTTACACAATAACTATTA